GTAGTCAACCAAATACCTCATGCATGCAAACATCTAACAGGCTACAGTTCAGTGATGTGCCACATGAATCTGCTCTGGATTTTAGTCTGTACATAATTCAAAGGGAGCTCTCCCAGGTACTGAATTTATTTTAGAGGCAGGTCTCAAAACACTTGAGCAACTCCTTTAAATTTCTGATGAAAACTCACAGCTGATTCACTACCCAGTGACATGAGAGCTACTAGACACCACTGCCACAACTCATAGCAGGGTTCTCCTCTGAAAGCCTCTCTGAAATGAAAGGAAATTGCATAATTCTGGGCACCACAATTCAAGAGAGATATTGACAAGCTGGAATGTGTCCAGAGGAGGGCGAATAAAATGATCAAGGGTCTGGAGAACAAGCCCTATGAGGAGCGGCTTAAGGAGCTGGGCAAGAAGAGAAGGCTGAGAGGAGATATGATAGCCATGTATAAATATGTGAGAGGAAGCCACAGGGAGGAGGGAGCAAGCTTGTTTTCTGCTTCCTTGGAGACTAGGACGCGGAACAATGGCTTCAAACTACAAGAGAGGAGATTCCATCTGAACACGAAGAAGAACTTCCTGACTGTGAGAGCCGTTCAGCATTGGAACTCTCTGCCCTGGAGTGTGGTGGAGGCTCCTTCTTTGGAAGCTTTTAAACAGAGGCTGGATGGCCATCTGTCAGGGGTGATTTGAATGCAACATTCCTGCTTCTTGGCAGGGGGTTGGACTGGATGGCCCATGAGGTCTCTTCCAATTCTTTGATTCTATGATTCTAAGGACATCCCTTCCCTTTTCATATCAATAAGACCTGACATTTGAGGTGAATTGTGCTTTTAAACAACACATGCCACTTATCTGTTGTTCCTGGAATGTCAAACAGATGTAAAGTGGAAATGAAGAACAAGTTTCTTCCATTCATTTTAAGAGGCAGTGGAGGAAGAAACAATAGATATTCAGCGCATTCATTGTAATCTCCCAACTTGTTCCACTTGCAGAAAAATGTGAAGACAAAGCTGCCAAACTGGGAAGGCAGACTGAGGCTCCATCTACACTGTCATCTAAAGCAGTTTCAGAATGCCGATTAACTGCATTGAACTGGATTATGGCTGTGTAGACTCATATAATCCAGTTCAATCTGCATTATACAAGTCACACTGAGCATTGTAATGCAGTTCAAACTGCTATATATGGCAATGTATATGGGGTATGAAAAGAAGCAAATGCACAGTCAAATAGCAGTTTATGTGTGTAATGTAAGTTATGAGCAGATATTTGTGACACAAAGGGTATTGTGAATTGACAATGTTCCTCTGTCATTTAAACCAGGGATGTTATTAGTAACTATAAACAGGAATGCATCCAAAGCTATTTGGAAAAGCTACAGAGGCTTGCCATTATATGAAAAATAAAACATACAAAATCAAATATATGTCATTAATGCTCTTAATTGTGGGACTGGTCCAGACTTGGCTTGCACAACTGCAACTGGACTGAGTTCACTGACAATATCACACCACAGGTAATTTATTGTCTGTGGAAAGAAAGGCTTCTGGTGTTCAGAATCTGATATGTAATGTGTTCAAAATGTTCATCTCACCTCCTAGTTTAGAATTCAGTGTTTTCCTGTACTGTGTAAACTGACAAACAATCACAAACACAGGTGTGATCTAACTCTATATTGCAAAAAAAGAAAAATTCATCAGGTATGTGTGGAAAAAAAACCTCATCAGGTAATTGCAAAAACCTGAAAACAATCAAAATGCTAAAAGGACAAGAGGAAGGCCATTAAAATGATTGGAAGCTATTCACGGGAATGGCTGTCTCTCTCTCTCTCTCTCTCTCTCCATAGCCTTTCCAGATCAGATGACATCAGAGGCAGATATAATCAGTTCCACAGCTTTGCTCCAGGCCAACAATAGGAAGGGCTAGGAAGAGAGAGAAGCTCTCAGACTTGCAAGCATGAGTTGAGTCCTAATTGCCTGCTGAGGACAGCAACTTCATGCATCTCTCTCACTTCCAACTGAGAAGACCACCATTGTGAGGGAAACCCACTGCTCTATCCATACTGGTAGAAAGACATTCTTGCCTCACACATACATTTACCCACAACTAACCTGCAGGAGACAGAGTGATCTGGAAGCCTCGGGTATGTTTGTGTTGCATCAAAAGTTGCCATTCCTGATTTAGATGTTTCTACTTCTGTATGCATAGTTTGGTGCAAGTGTTTTTGTCATTGTTTGAATATTGGAGGGAAAGCATCTGAACCCAATGGAACCCACCTTCAGAAGAGAGAAAGCACAAACCTTCTCTCTACAAATTTTGGACACACAAAGAAACAACCCTGTGATAGGGTCAACTTAGGGCCGCAATAAGTCAGAAATGACTTGAAGGCACACAGCGAAATCAACACATCATATGGCTGCCATGTGAGTGAGAGGGGATAATTTGGAGGTGTTTATAGATGAGCAATGCATTACTTGCAGTCTAGGAGAAGAAAGTGCCTGATCAGAAAAGAAAACCTCACCCTGGGAACTGCTGATGGTCTTTTAAGGAGGAATGAAGTCTATCAGGTATGGGCAAACCCAGGAGGGGGGCAGATGCAGTCCTTTGGGCTCTTTTCTCAGTCCCTCCTCTCTCTCACCATCCCTCTTTCTCTCTTTCCCTCCTTCCATCCTTCCTTCCCTTCCACCCTTTCATCTGTCTGTGCTTCCTTCCTTCCTTCTTTCATTCCTCCTCCCCTCTCTTTTTCTCCTTCCTTCCCTTTTGTCTTTTCTTCCTTCTCTCTTTCCTCCCTCTCTCCATTCCCTTCCACCCTTCCATCTTTCTCTCCCTTCCTTCCTTCCTTCCTTCCTTCCTTCCTTCCTTCCTTCTCCTTTTCCTTCCTCCTTTCCTCCTGGGGGATGTTTAGCTGGGAGAAGAGAAGGTAGAGAGGGAACACAAGAACCATGTTTCAAGATTTAAAAGGGTGTCTCATTGAGAAGCAGGGGGAAAACTGACTTTCTGCTGCTCTAGAGACCAAGGCACAAGGAAGCAATGGGTTCAAATGGCAGGGAAAGAGATCTGACTGAAAAGATTAGGAAGAACTTCCTGGAGAGTGGCTGCCTAGGAGTGTGATGGGGTTCTCTTCTCTGGAGACTTTTCTGCAGTGGCTGTCTATCAGGAGTGCTTTGATAGTGCCTTCCTGCATGGCAGGGGGTTGGACTGGATGGTCCTTTGGGGTCTCTTCCAACTCTAGGATTCTAGGACTCTATATCAAGAGTATGTAATATGGGGTCTAATGGATACACTTTTTCTCTCTTATCCACGATCTCATCCTGACAAAGGCCAACCCTTTTGGGATCCAAATGTTTCCCATCTTTCCTTCACTTTCTGCCTCTGGAAGAGAAGAGGAAGGGGAGTAAAGGGCAGGGAAGGGGCTTGGGGAAAACCCCCCTCCCTCCTTCCTCCCCTCCCACCCCGCACTCTAGCCCACCATGTGGCCCCCAAGTTAGAAATTTTGCCCATGCCTGAAATATAGCATGTGGACCCATTGTGTCAACACCATACCTGGAATCACTTACTATCTCCTTTGGAAATTAGAGTCTATCCCATTAAAACTCAAACATGACATCTCAAGAACAGACTGATATCCAGCAAGAGGAGGGAATGGAGCAAACTTCATGTTAATTTCCCAAAATATAAGCATCCTATTCATATTCTTACAATGCACATCTCCTGCTCTAAAAGACATTTCATAGTTTTCTCTTTGCAGACAGAGCTCCCTCTGTGTCCCAGTGACTGCTTACATGTGCAGAATCAATTTTGTGCTTCCAGCTCCTACAGATTGAGTGCTGATGTTATTCCTTGATATGAAGAAAGCTTGCCAAAAACATCTGGGATGTCCATGAGAAACGTGTGACCAGTCTATTTTTTATTCATGTCAGTTTCACGTGCATTCATTCACAATTCAATTCCGTAATGTCATTTCAGGTTTATATGAGAATTCCAATGCATTTTTACACAGTTTACAATAAAACACATATTTTGGTATTTTAAAGCCAAATAAATGATCACAAATTTCAAAGAACTGTGAAACTGAAAAGAAAAACACATTATAATCTATGCTGTATCCAAATCAGCTCACTTGAAAATGCAGATACATTTCTGAATGCTTGAAAATGCATATGATATTATTGTTTAAAATCCCGATGAAATTGTCAAAAATACCTGCTTATTAGGTGTCTGTTAACAGCAAACACCAAGGTATGTGTGTGTGTTTGCATGCATGTGTGTGTATATGCTGAAGAGTGACTTTTCAAAATGGGTTTGACATCATTTTTTCCCTGAACCAACTCTTTTCAAAATACTCAGAGAGGCAGAAAATAGACAGATAATGTTTTTCTTATCACTCAGGCATCTTGCTTTGTTTTTTTAAGGTTCACTTGTTAAATGGATGCTTGTTGTGTGCTGTTAAAAGCATATGAATCGGGTTCTCAAAAATAGTGCCAAACTAACAAAAGATGGTGTCTTAAAACAAAGTGCTGTAAAAAGAGGCTACAAAATAGTGAAGCACTGTATAATGTAAACACGACTGTGGATTTGCCTTTTTTCCTTATTTTTTTTGTGTAATTTGTGAATGATTAACTAAACCCAATAGCAGGAATAATAGGACGCAAAGGTCATGAGCAGAAATTCACTGACCAGATTGCCCTTGGCCAGTAGTTGGACTGCAAAGCCACAAGCAGAACCTTTAAGTCAAGCAAAGCAATTAACTAAAGTTCAGAAAATGCAGTGAAATGGTAGAAGCACAACCGAGAGAAAAGATTGCAACTCTTGATGACAGTTATATGTGCCAAAGTTCTGATGATTCCATAAGGCATAACCGCCCTACAGACAAAACATTTGTCTTGAATCAGAGTCAGAGGCAGAGTAGCCAGATGCAAAGGAAGACAAGACTACTGTATCTTTAATAGCTGTGCAAAAAAATGGGAATTCAGCAAGTGACAAGTCGTACTTACTAAAATTCCCTCTTCTTTGCAATGCAGGAGAGCAGTCATCTTTTGCATCTGGTCATTCTAGAGAGAGAGAGAGAGAGAACCACACATTTATATCGGAGTTATATCATCTTAAAGGGTCTGGCTTCCTCAAAAGAATCTTAGAAATTGCCAAACAGAAGCATAGAAAGAGAGAGCAAAGAGAGAGCTCTTTGAAAGTATCCCTTCCCCCTCAAGTGTATTGAGAAACTTATAGTTTCACCAGCAGGGAAAATAACTGTTAAGAATAATCTTTTCACCTTGAAGCCTGCAGAGCAGGTAAAGCAGAGAGGAAAACTGGCAGTCCTTCACGGCCAGTCATTGAGGTGATATCAAAGGCATGGGAGGGAGTGGAACATTGGTTCCCTTCAAGGGTCTGTTATATGGCTGCAATCCCTTAGAGAAAGAAAGATGAAAATATGAATTATGTCTTAGTGTCAGGAGCTGATTTCTGCTGTTCCCAAAGACATTATAAATCTTCTCCATGACATCTTGAGGCCAGCAGGGGGCATCAGGAAAGAGACTTCAAAACATATTGATGGACTCTTTCCCATGGGAAAACTAAACGGGCTGGCAAGGTGGGACAGGGAGATCAGTAGAAAGCCAAGAGTTGTTGGGTGAAATCACCATTGGGGACTTTCTTTAGCTGTAGAGATCTGAGCAATTAAAGCCAATACCAAAAGAACTTTTGTGAATGGTCTTTGTTGCTGGCTAGATTTTGCAGGGACTGACACTTAGGTTGGACTCCCAAGTGTCTATAACTGTGCCATCATAGGTTTCTCTTTGGTCTTTCTCATTTAACTATGGTTAGGCATTCATATTTGCGGGTTTCATTTCTGCAGATTAGATATTTCCCTGATTTGATTAATATGTTTTCTCTAATAATTTCTAGGTTCTCCAGCACAACTCCATGGGCAACTACTACTGGATGTGTGACCACAGACTTGAACTGGAGGACCAAGAGTTTCCTAGAGAGAACAATTTTCTAGGCATTTGTAGGTCCTCCAGCATAATTAAATGGCCAGAGGATGTTGACCTCAGAGTTCATCTGGAGGACCTAAAAATTCCTAGAGGTGCTCTTTGGAATTTAAAAAAAGATTTGGTTTTTTTATATCTGCAGTTTCACCATTTGTGTAGGGGGTCCTGCAACCCTAACCATTCCACTTTCAAGGATGCTTGAACAGAGTTCTCAGGGTGGCTTGAAAGATAGATAATCAAAACTATCTATCTATATAAACTAAAACACATGGATGCAAAATAAAATAATTATGTAGAGATAAAGATGTGGATTGACAGTTTAAACCACTGTCCAGGTAAGCTATTTGCCAGTGTTGTTTGCAGAATGAGAATATTAGGATCAACTTACCATCTTCTACAAGAAATACTTATTCCTATCAGATCTTTGACCAGGGTGAGTACTCCTTGCAGTAAGCCACTTTTACATCACTAACAGGCAGAAGTAATTCAAAGAGGTACCAATATAAAAATGTTGTTGGTACAGATATAGAAATCAACATTATTCCACAGGTTATGCATGCTGGGCTCCATTCTGACCATTATGCCAATACATATAAATTGAATATTTCTGTGTTCCTTGATGCATTATGTATTTGTGCAAATACTGCATCAAGTGGCGTCAAGTGGTTATTCAGCCATTACTGTATGTTAACTGACATGTTCTACAAGCATCAGTGGGGCATAGTCAACAAGCAATATTGTGACTGGTGGCAGAGAAATGCCTGTGGATATTCTACATTAGCTGTTACCTCTACAGCTATTATGCTATTAACTCGGCTGCTGCTTTAGCATGTGCTAACAACTGTGTCATGCTGCTGCTGAAAGGTTTACTGAAGTGGCTGCTGCTATAATGGAGCCACTGAAGCAAACTCTTTGTGCAGCTGAAATTGTAGTGATTTCTCAGATGGTTCATTTTTTCCCAGTTTGCCATCTGATGTCAGATGGCAAATGCTAAAATCACTTTGATACAAGTGCTTATCAACACCTCCTGAAAGTATTGCCCTGGCCTACATCTTTCTCCCCCATCTTTGGCAGAGCACCTAATTATATCCAGCAGATTTAGTTGATTCAAAGGTGGGTGACTCTGGCAGGTCCAATGGCTACTTTTCATGTAGACTCTCTGGAAGCTGCATGTACCATCAAAAAACAGAACCCAAATTGTCTAGAAGATCACGGCTAGTGATAAAAAAATTATATTTTTAAATGATAAATAGTGCAGAAAAGTCTTCTAACTTATTTAAAAGAAGAATTGTTACAGTTGGAGGCTTCCAGAGTCAGTAATACATTTTTGGCCAGGAAAAGAAGCTTGACCTGGGTTTCTAGAGGTATCAAGGGCTACAAAAACATCTCTAGAAGCTGCATGTGGCCCCAAGGTTGCATTGTGTCAACCTCTAGCTGGGGGAGTTTCAGAACTAGACCCTACATATGTTGGTGTATAAGTGTGTTATATTGAGCCCAGTGTACTCTAATTTCCTAGTTAATTTAGAATAACAGTTAAAGGAGTGATGTAGATAATAAATTATTAAAATGACACCTGAGTTTAAGGACCTTCAACACACCAAACTACAGCTACATTCTTAGTGTAAATGCTGTTTTTAGGAGCCAGCTTTGAATCCAACACTGGAAGAAAAGTAGCATTCAAATGAAATGAATAAATACAACACACTGCCCACTACACACACACACACTTCACTCCTATGTATAGATACTTGTGCCTATTTTGTTTCAGCAAAGAAGAAATTGGCAGAAAATAGCACTTTTCACAGCTTTCTGACCTGCTAAAACAAGCAACATAAATGTAGCTGTGAAATGTGTTTGGTGACATGATTCAAGGACATAATTTAACTGAATGATGCCTCTAGTCAGTGGTGGCCAATAGCTTTCAGTCAATGGAATTGTGAATCTATTCTGGGCTTTAGTCTCAAATTTTAAAGGAAATATTTGTGGTGCTTCCTCCTCTGTTTTCAGAGAAGCAAGGTGGAGCATGCTTCTAAAATGCATGTCCCTCCTAAAACTGAAAAACACTTAAAAGGAAAGCAAGTTTAGGAAACCTGATGGAGCAAAGGCACTAACATTCATAGATCAAAAACACAATTCTATCACAGTGGATTAGGAAAAAGACAAGATAGACAAATTATTACTTTATGCATACCAAACATAACATGCCCTGAGGATCTGGCTGAATGAACAAACCCCAAAACTGGCTCTGAGCCCAAAGCCTGCGATCACCCGGCAGCATGGAAAATAGAACCCTGTCTGATGCAGCTATTTCCTGGGCTGAACAAAAAAAAAAAAAAACCAGAGCCTGTGAATAAATTTCTAGGCAATCATTAAGCCAGTACAAGTAATCATAACCTTGAGCCAATCTAAGAATTATGTCTAGCCACAAGTACATATCCTTGCTCAGTGATCAGAAGAAAAAAAAAGTTCTGTTAAACTCAATTTGTTTCCTTTCATTGTTTCTTTGCCATGCAGTTTCAGTACCACAAACAGTGGACAGAAGCTCAGAGATGAAAGGCTAGAGATTGGCAATGCTTTTCATTTACGGTACATTCTGCAAAATCCTTATTTCAGGATGTTATTCAAGCTCTTAAATCAGGGATCCTCAAACTTTTTAAGCAGAGGGCCAGTTCACAGTCCCTCAGGCTCTTTTGGGGGGCTGACTATAGTTTGAATAAACATGAACAAATTACTACACACACTGCACATATCTTATTTGTAATGCAAAAAAACGTGAAAGAACAATACAATATTTACAATGAAGAACAATTTTAACCAACAATTTTAACTTACCAATATTTCAATGGGAAATGTAAGCCTGCTTTTGGCTGATGAAATAGTCAAGTTAATTAGGATTGTTGTTTGTCTACAAGTCGTTTCATACTTAGGAGTGCCTAAATCTAAAAATTAGGCCTGGGAATGGGTAAATTACCTTTGGGGAGCACATCCAGCTTGCAGGCCTTAGTTTGAGTGCTCCTGCTTTAAATTATGAATGGAGACACACTAACCTTAATTAATGACCTGATTTTATTCATCATTTACTGAAGGAAACTAATGGGCAAAACTCAAACTAGTATGTTTACAAATGAAGGGCTTTGTGTGAATAAATTTGCATTTAAATGAAAAAATGTGCATCGTGAAGTTTTGTTACATTCCAACTTAGCAGCCACATCTAATCCCTACCCTGCTTGTTGAAGATCTGCTTTCCCCTCCCATGCCCTAAAAACATTTACTGCTTTTCCTTAACTGCACAATTCCAACAACTTCCTGAAAATCCAGCTTTCTTCCTCAGATTCTCCCCCTTCTGCTCATGTGACAACTGAGGCCCCTTCCACACAGCTGAATAAAATCCCACATTATCTACTTTGAACTAGGATATATGGCAGTGTGGACTCAGATAATCCAGTTCAAAGCAGATATTGTGGGTTATTCTGCCTTGATATTCTGGGTTATATAGCTGTGTGGAAGGGCCCTGAGGCTGCATCTAAACTAAAGAATGAATGCATGTTTACATCACTGTAACAATCCTGGCCCGATGCTATGGAATCTTTGGAGCTGTAGTTTGATGAGGCACTAGTACGCTAAAGTATCGGCAGAGAGCTAAAGACCTTGTAAAGCTACAACTCCCATGATTCCATAGCACTGAGCCATGGCAATGGTGTCAAACTGCATGTTAAACTGCATTCATTCTACTGTGTAGGTGCACCCTGAGTCCTTCCAACCATTTCTTCTCCCCATCCAGTTGCAGTTATGACACACAGTTCCACACAGTAGGGAGAAAGTCCCTGCTGAACTGTGAGAAAGTTTTATTTAGTATTTTTTAATTCACTGAAAGCATTTAAAAACACCTTTCCTGAGCCCAAATAAATTATGCTTTATTTAAAATCAGCTGAAAACAAGGTAATTATTTTTCTCACCCTTACAATCTAGAAAGAAAGGAAATGTGGACAAGTAAGGATTTGTTCTGCTTCTCATTTCTGCTGTGCTTCCTAGCTTGGCCAATCAGAGAACTTCAAGTAATGTGTAACTTAAATATGTAACAAATAAATGAGGTAGAGACACGTGAACACACTTCTTTTCCTACACTATTGCCCCTGATCATACAATTTCTGCAACAAGGGGGAAATCTGTTTGTCAGGCATGGCAGCGGGATACATGCCACAAGCAGTGACATTCTCTGAACCTACTTTCAACTCTCATGAAGCAAAGAAACCAGTGTTTGTTGTTAGTTTAAATGACCCTTGGATGATCTCAGGCAGTTTCTGAATAAAGCCTGTGCATTTCCAGAATCCTCCAATACCTGTTATTCCACCACCACAAAATTCCTACCTTGCCTGGGGAACTAGAAAGCCCTCCTGATAATCTCAATATGAAGGCTGTAAAACAGCTTTGCCCAGTCTCCTCCAGAGATTCAGACCTCCCTTGAATCCCGGTGATACTTTTATTAGTTTCTGTGACAGACAGCTGCCCAGTTTCTGAAAAACACAGCCTTAGAACATTTTCCAAGTGTCCTTCTAAGGCCAGGAGAAGAAGGAGGCCTTTTACTCCTACACATAGCTGGAATATGAAGGCAGCTTGGATTTATGGGTAGATTATAAGACATGCAATCCACCCTGAACCCTAGAGATAGGACAGCTTTGCAACCCAATTAAATAATGCAGAGTGGAGAGGATAAAAACTCAGCATTACAGTGACCCATTTAGCTGGGATCTATTTTGGTCACCTGTGGCTCATTCCTTGTGTTGTCTTTCCTGCAAATATAACTTCAGCCAGGATTTAAGAAACAGAGTAGGGATTGAGCTCTGGAATGCTATGGAGACTTGAGGTGCATCTGCACTGTAGAAGGAGTGAGGAGGAGTCTCCTTCTCTGGAGGTTTCTAAGGCTGAATCAAATCTGCTTTGAACTAGAATATATGGCAGTGTGGACTCAGATAACCCAGTTCAAAGCAGATATTGTGGGATTCTCTGCCTGGATAATCTGAGTTATATGGCTGTGTGGAAGGGGCCTAAGTAGACGCCTGTCAGGAGCTCGACTGGATGGCTCTTGGATCTTCAAATCTTTAAAGGCGGCCATCTGTGGGGAGTGCTTTGATGGTGTGTCCCTGCATGGCACTTGGACTGGGTAGCCCTTTGGGTCTCTTCCAACTCTAGGATTTTATTATTCTACCTCTTTCCAATTGCCCCAGAAGATGCCCCCCGGTTCCTCAGACCTACCTCCTTCTTCAGGGCCCGGGCCCGGCTCCCAAGGGGTTGGGGTTGGTGGCGGCAAGAGAGTAGCAAAGAAAGGCCGCCGCCGCCTCGCCCTCGCTGCAGGTGCCTTTCCTCCTCTTGACCCAGGCTGGGGGGCCTTCCGAAGCCCCGCCCCCTCGGGTCCCCCTCTCCCATTGGACAGAGGCCTTCCCGCCTCACGTTTTCCCTCTCTCTGCCCCCGTCCTCCTCCCACGCCCGCCCTGCGGCTGCCTTGGGGCAGACTCCGCGCCCAGCCCGCCAGGAGGAGAGGCAGGCAGGCGGGCAAGGGGGCTCACCTTGGCTGCGGAGAGGCTCGCTCCTTTCCCTCTCTTGCTTGCTTCAGCCGGGCCCGAGTTGCAGCCATTGCCGCGCGCGGGGTGGTCGTGACGTCAGAGCCGGGCGGACACGCCCCCGACGCGCCCCCTTCCCCCCTCCCTCCCCCAAGTTGCATCTCCACTGTAGAATGAAGGTATTTGAAAACCACTCTAATCCTAAGTGTTGTGGTTTGACAAACAGGGCCCTTCCACACAGCCCTAGATCCCAGAATATCAAGACAGAAAATCCCATAATATCTGCTTTGAACTGGATTATCTGAGTCCACACTCAGATAATGTGGGATTTTCTGTCTTGATATTCTGGGATAAAGAGCGGTATGGAAGAGCCCACAAACATCTTCTCTGCCCAAGATGGTGTTGCCTCAGCAAAATACCAATCCCAGGGTTTGATAGCATTGCGCCATGGGAGTTCAACGGGTGTCAAGCTGCATTCATTCTGCGGTATTTATTTATTTTCGTGTCAGGAGCAGACCAAACAGTTGCCTTGCATTTGTTAACAAACAAACAAAACACAAAGTTTGCAAGCTTGGTAGTTGATTAAATGCCCTTTGACCAGTATCTGGTCACTTGGAGTGCTTCTGGTGTTGCTGCAAGAAGGTCCTCCATCGTGCATGAGCAGGGCTCAGGTTGCATTGCAGCAGGTGGTCAGCAGTTTGCTCTTCTCCACACTCGCATGTCGTGGATTCCACTTGGTGGCCCCATTTCTGAAGGTTGGCTCTGCATCTCATGTGCCAGAGCACAGTCTGTTCAGCACCTTTCAAGTCGCCCAGTTTTCTGTGTGCCCAGGAGAGATCTCTAATTTGGTATCAGGTATTGAGGTTCTGGGTTTGATCCTGCCACTTTTGGACTCTCGCTTGCTGAGGTGTTCCAGCAAGTGTCTCTGTAGAACTTAGAAAACTATTTCTTGATTTAAGTCGTTGACGTGCTGGCTGATACCCAAACAGGGGATGAGCTGGAGATGTCACTGCCTTAGTCCTTTCACTATTGGTTGCTACTTCCCGGCAGATGTCAGGTGGTGCAATACCAGCTAAACAGTGTAATTTCTCCAGTGGTGTAGAGCACAGACACCCCGTGATAATGCGGTATGTCTCATTAAGAGCCACATCTACTGTTTTAGCGTGGTGAGATGTGTTCCACACTGGGCATGCATACTCAGCAGCAGAGTAGCATAGCGCAAGGGCAGATGTCTTCACTGTGTCTGGTTGTGATCCCCAGGTTGTGCCAGTCAGCTTTCGTATGATATTATTTCTAGCGCCCACTTTTTTCTTGAGTAGCATCGATGTGGAATCAAATATTTGCAGAAGAATATCATTGGATAAGTGTGATTTTTTTCTCTTGAAGGTTGGGATTTCCCCCTTTAAATTTGTACCCTGCTTTTTCCATATGTATGCACTCTAAGAGGCTCACAAGAAATAATAATGTAACAAAAGTAGTAGTAGAAGGAGTCGTAACAGTAACAGCCTGCTGGCAATTTGTTATAAAATAAAGACAAACTGGAGAAGATAATTGAAAAGGGAGAAGACTGTAAGGCTGCATCTGCACTGTAGAATTAATGCAGATAGACACCACTTTAAGTGCCTTGATTAATGTTTTGGAATCCTGGGATTTGTAGTTTGGTGTTGTGGTTGTACTCTGGCAAAGAAGGCTAAAGACACTGTAAAACTCCAACTCTCATAATTTCATATTATTGAGCCATCACAATCAAAGTTGTGTTAAAATGCATTAATTATATAGAGTAGATCCACCCAAACCCAATGGCAGGAATTCTGTGACTCTCCAAATTTATGTATGTGTGTATTATTTACAGCATTTTTTATCCCGCTCTTTTCAGCCCGAAGGTGACTCAGGACGGCGTACAATTGGACTGCAGTTCCCATGATTATAGCAGATGGATGGGGCTTGCAGTTCAACATCTGGGAAGCTGCACAGTTCTCATTTCTAAGTGAATGGAAGGGTGTTCCCTGAACCTAAAAATATCAAAAACTATATTTTGTCATGGACATACAATAGAGAGAAAGAGAGAAAATACCAGTAAATGGGAGGAAAGAAAGGGATGTTGCTTACAATATGATATGTTCTAGTTTTGGAGTAAGTGTCTTCAAGTAACATTAAAAGCATGTAGGATCCAACTGTATTATCCCTCAATTAAAATTCCAACTCGCAGGGATATATAATATAAATCAAATGGCACTTGACAACAAATAAAACAGGACAGCCATGGCAGCAGAAATTGTGGAAGGCCACCATCTTCTTTAAATGGAGAGAATCCAAGGCAGTCTACTCACAAAGAAGTGGCAAGTAGGCCTTTATGATACAGACTCAGATCTGAAGAATGAAATACATCATTGGAAAATTATGATTATAGTACTTCAAGTAAAAAAATAAGGTGGTGAGGACCTTGATGGGATATAAAGTGAGATACTCCAGAGAATTTAAAATACCTCTTGCGAGAATAAGACATTCATATTAAGTATATTATTAACTCCATCCCTAAATGCTTAGTTTGAATGATAGCAATCTGTCCATATCAAAAGCCATTTCAAGAAGCAGTGCAGACAAATCCAGATTAATCATTTGTATAATTTCCTGAGGAATCAATATGCCTACAATCTAATCACTTCTGGACATCAGTAAAATTGTCAGATACCAAATAATCCAAATGAATTATTAGCCCCAACGGCTTTAAACTGAAGATTGAAACTAATTAATAGCATAATAAAAAGGGGTCCTGGAGCTAGTAATTAATTTTATCAACTCAGACAAAGAAGATTTTGGTGTCGAAGTAAACAACAAAAGATCATTAGCCTATAAAAATGACTTTTCCATATATAAATCTAGATGTTGCTAATTGTGTCTTCTTTGTTGCAGGTCCCAAACAAAGATAAAATATTGCAGATGAGAAAGGGCAGTCCTGTTGTGTACCCAGTTTGGAAAGTCAGAAAGTATCTTATTTGTAATCACTTTCAATCTAGAAAAAAGATACAAATCTGAATCCATTCAAAAATTCCAACAGGAAACCAAATTCTTTTTAAGACATCAGGGAAAAGAAAACCCCGGTGGTGCAATGGGTTAAACCCTTGTGCCAGCAGGACTGCTGACCAAAAGGTGAGAGGTTCAAATCCAGGGAGAGCAAGTTGAGCTCCCTCTGTCAGCTACAGCTCCCCATGCAGGGACATGAGAGAAGTCTCCCACAAGGATGGTAAAACATCAAAAACATCTGGGCAACATTCTTGCAGATGGCCAATTATCTTACACCAGAAGCAATTTGCAGTTTCTCAAGTCACTCCTGACACACACACAAAAAAACTATAAAACTATAAAATGTGTAATTAACTCTAAATGATCAACTCCCTGTCTATAGCAAATAAAATGAACCACATATGGGTGAATTAATTGTGTTCACATGTTTCAAACCCTATTAACTCCTAAATCACATACCAAGAGTGGCATTTGCCTAGTTTAGGAATAAAAGAACTAAAAGTTTCATACATACATCTCCTTGTTGTGCCATCTGGAGATACTTATTTTGCATAGAATATGGAAAAATAGACCCATGTATGATTCCACAGCAAGTTGGTTTCAGGAAAGGGAAAAGCTGCATATCACAAGTACTGAACCTGACTCAGCAGGTAGAAAATGGTTTTGAAAGGCAGCAGATTACAGGAGCTGTCTTCATAGACCTGTCAGCAGCATATGACACTGTAAATCATCATCTTCTCCTGAGAAAAATGTATAATATCACAAAGGGCTACTACCTCACCCGCTTCATAGGAAATCTGCTACAAAACAGGAGCTTTTTTGTTGAGTTCCAGGGACAGAAGCAGATGGCGAAAACAGAAGAACAGCCTGCCTCAGAGGAGCGTGCTTGCTCCATTGATGTTTCACATTTGCACAAATGATCAGCCACTGTCGGAAGGGTTGTAGATTTTCATCTATGCTGATGATCATGCCATCACAGCTCAAGTAAGGAGCTTTGAAATGGTTGAACACTAGCAGAAGCTTTCCGAAGCTTTAGGTGCTCTTACTGCCTATTACAGGGAAAACCAGCTGATTCATAATCCATCTAAAATGCAGAAGTGTGCTTCTCACCTTAAGAACAGACAAGCATCTTGAGCTCTAAGGATTACCTGGGAAGGAATCCCACTGGAGCATTACAGCATGCCCAAATATTACCCTGGACCATACTCTGACTTACAAGAAGCACTGCTTGAATATCAAGCAAAAAGTGGGTGCTGGAAATAATATCATATGAAAGTTGACTGGCACAACCTAGGGATCACAACAAAACACAGCGAAGACATCTGCCCTTGCGCTTTGCTACTCTGCTGCTGAATATGCATGCCCAGTGTGGAATACATCTCACCACGTTGACCTGATGACCCACTCCTTATACTTTTCTACATATGTGAATGTAAACTGTGTTTTAGCTGACCTTAGATTGTTCAAATCATACTTGGCATGTCGCATTTACAATAAGAATCCAAGGAAGGATGAATTGCATATTGATTTAATCACATTTTCCCTGATTTTTCCTATTCTGTTGAGCTTTTATCTTTTTTTCCTGTATGAAACATATGCTAGCATCCTCCCTTTCATATAGGCTTGAAATGTATCTTTCCCAGTAACATATGATTGAATGAAACCTTCATTTTTAGTCTATCAGTCTTGGAGTGCTTTTTGAATTTGTCACCTTTTAGAAGAGAGACTCTCAAATGTCAGACTCAAGAAGACTTGGCAAGATCAGGTGAGAGGCGCTCTTAAATGCTATTTCACAGCTTGCATTCACTTCTCTGTTTCCAGAATTTGGAGTATTACTTTTAAAAAGGAAATACTTATGTTACTCATTATTCTAATCACCGAGAAGATTACTGCAGACCCAGGGTGGAGGGGCGTGAGGGGGAATACTAGATTACTCAATGTTGCCATTCCTATTATTTCATACCATTGAAAAATACAGGACTTGGTAGTTTGTTGAAATGGAGTAATGAAGCTGCTTGTAGTTTTGGATTCTCCTTGCGGGCATGACTACAAGAACTATCATGCACTTCAGAATATCCCACCATACAACT